GTAGAAGCCATAGACTCCGCATGAGTAGCTTGAAGTTCCTCATGAGACTTAGAGAGTTTGGTGAGCTCTCCTTTGACCTTCTTGTAGTCAAGGTCAAGGTGCTCAAAATCCTCTTTAAGTTTGCAATGAGTAACTTCAATCTCTTCTTTTAAAGACCTCAAGTCACTAAGACATTGATGAGCCATAGCAAGTTCATGTTCAAGTTGTTCACTTTTTGCTTGCTCGTAAAGAAACAAGTCGTTACGTTTTTGAAAGCAAGCAAGAACATCTTGGAGCCTTTTATAAGTGTTATTTTTAGCTCTACGAAGAGTTTTCCCAATCTCATAGAGATTTTGAGTCAAGACTTCATCATCTTCCTCATTACAACTATCATCATTATCACTAAGAGAAGATGATACCTCATCATTACCTCTTGCCATGAGGCACATGTGAACAAAAGGGGTTGATGATGATTCTTTTGGAGAAGAGGGTTCTTCATCAATCAAGCATGCCTCATCTTTCTTGATTTCCTCTACATGGTTAGTCATAGAACAACTAGAGGAAGCCAAAACATTTATATCATGGCAACATGGGAGATCAAGCATATCATCACAAATGAGCTTAACACCATCATTACAGGATATTTCTTCACTCACCATGTCATTACCTTGTGGTATGCCACATGTTGGTGAAGTGAAAGATGTTGAGGTATGCAAGTAATCGGAGGTGGAAGCAATAGAGAGCTCTTCATGATTTAAAAATGTGGAGAACTCCTCCATTAACTCCCCAAAAAGAATATTGTCTTCATTAAGATTGGACCCACCATATATATCTTCAATTTTGGTCCAAGCATCATGAGCCAACGAACAAGACGAGATTGACTTGAACACCACGAAGGTTATAGCTTGGTGAATGATACTTAAAGCTTCACTATCAAGATGCATATCACCAAGTGACGGAGATTGTCCATCCTTTAGATTTGAATTCCCTACAACCACAATCCGCAAAGCATTTGGACCCATGGCCCGAAAATGACAAAGCATGTGTAATCTCCACATAATGTAATTTGTGCCATTAAAACAAAATGTGTCATCGTGCACTAGTTCACTAGTCGACATCGTTACTCTCTAGGCGGTTAAGCCTAATAAGGAGAGACCTTGCTCTGATACCAATTGAAAGGACCACGATGTCGCCTAGAGGGGGGGGGGTGAATAGGCGTTTTAAAATCTTTTACGGATTTGGCTATATCCTAATGCAGAAATAAACTAAGCGGATACTTTTCAAGCACAAATCCTAAATATACTAGGCTCACTAAGTGCACCAACAACTTAGCATAAACAAGATGAGAACAACAGGATATGAGTAAGCACAAGTAAGTCACACAAACTTACTCAGTGTATATCACGAGGTATGGAAATGAATAATACACACAACCGCAAATAAGCAATACAAGCTTACACAAATTGTATCACAATATATGGAATTGAATGATACAAGCAAACTCAAGTAAGTTACACAAACTTACTTGAGCAATATCACACTATATGGAAGTTTATAACACAAGTTAGCAATTCACACTAATCACAATGTATATCAATAGTAGCAAGTATGAATTGCGGAATATGAAGTGTAGGCCTAAATAATCTCTACAAGGAAATGGCCAACACAATATAATCAACCACCACAATATAATGAGGACAACAAGATATAGTGAATGCATGGTCAAATGACCAAAGTAAACCACAAGTAAGGAGTTAGGGTTAGGGATAACCAAAGTCACGGAGACGAGGATGTATCCCGATGTTCACTTCCTTGGAGGGAAGCTAGTCACCGTTAGAGAGGTGGATGTTACCACGAAGGCATACCAACGCCACGAAGGCTCACGCTATTCTCCTTGAGATATCACCACAAAGGCGATTCTCAACCACTAGTGGTAGACCTTGAGGTGGGCTCCAAACCTTCACAAACTTTCCGGGGGACAAATCACAAGTTGATTCCTCACCGGAGCACTCCTACCGCCTAGGAGTCTCCAACCTTCAAGAGTAACAAGAAAAAAGGGGAAATGCTCAAGACTTGCTCAAATCACTAATTCCTTTGGTCAAGAGAGGGAGAGGGAGTGGATCTATCACTTGATTGGAAAATCTCTCAAGAACTCTCACGAATCTCTTCGGGATCTAAGATTTGGTGTAGGAGAAGTGAGAGGGAGCCTTTTGTGTTCTAGGGTTCATATGAATGTGTTGCTCAACCCTCTACCGGATTAGTAGAGGGGTATATATAGCAAGCCTAGAAAACTAGCCGTTTGTGAGTAAGTGGCTGTGTTGGGTCGGACATCCGGGCAAGGGCCGGACATCCGGCGGCTGAGAAATGCACACACACGCATGTGAAAAACAGAGGCCAGAGTACAGGGGCCGGATATCTGGCCAAAGCCCGGACATCTGGCCCAAGTTGGGGCCCCGGACATCTAGCCCAAGTTGCCGGACATCCGGAGGACACAACCAACATTTCAACATGGTTCTGGACATCTACGGCCGGATTTCCGGGCCAAGTCCCGGATATCCGGCCAACACAAAAACTGCAGGCGCCCCAAAAGTAAAACATCCATAACTTTCTCATCCGGACTCCGATTTTGATGATCTTGGGCTCGTTTTGAAGCTATGGAAAAGCTCCAGGTCCTCACATGGAGAACCACCCAAGATAAAACAAAATGGAGGATGCAAAGTATTCAAAGGTTAGATCATATATTTTGGGGAACCTAGTTGGCTATGAATTTATTTGGTATATAGGATATGAGTGGAATTGTGTTGGATAGGAGTGAAATATGCCTATGTTGGAATATGATGTGAGGAAGTAGAAATAGAAGATGTTGACTTGAGCAAATCTAGCACTAACCCCTTTGATCCCCTCTTAATAGTGCGGGATCCCTATAACTCAAGAAACATAAAAGAGCTATACTACATAGCTATCGAGAACCATTCTTGAGTGTATATTTTTCTTCGGTGGTCATCTCTCCACAACACTAACGCCAAAGGAACTAATACCTTTGACTCAAGCCTTTAACTTGAGCTTGATGTTTATGTTTCTTCTTGGCTCAAGTTGAAGGCAAGGCATTGGTGAAGTCCTCAAGTAGCTCCCACATATGTGAGGCCTTGCTTTGTATTCATCTTCACTTGCCCATCATGTGATCATCCACAAGCTTCAAGCATGTAATCCCTCGGGATGGTTATCTTGAACTTGCCCTTATCAACCATGATCACCAACACTTGATGTTATCCTCTCATAGACACTTGAAATATCTCTCTCTCGATGCGAGCCCATGAGAATCACCTAACCCTTGAAAACATAGACAACACATAGTATGGGTTAGTACACAGAGTGCAATTGATAATTTCTTACCATACCACAAGATCTTATGTGGTGCATCATTTGCGCTCGTGTGTTGACCATTTAGAGTTCAATCTCCGAGCTTCAACTTGGTCAACCGATATCTCTACTCCATGCTTAATCTTGACGTCATGAAGGATATATTGAATTCTTCACTTGAATAGCTTGCTCAATCATGTCTCAACACATGAGTCCATTATGATCATATCTTTGAGCCACTCCTAGAATTCATCATTCGAATCATCCTTTTTAAGATCTTGATCCATTATGGCTCAAACCATAGCTCTAAGCATGGCAACCCTTAAGATACTCCAATGAACTCCATTTTGATCATCTCGATGTACTTGTTGCTTCAAAGGAGTTCTCTTCCATTATTCTTCAATCATTTTCCAATGGGACTAATCTTCAAATGTATATCTCAATGCAAACATTAGTCCATAAGGATTGCCATTAATTAATTACCAAAACCACACATGGGACTACATGTACTTTCAATCCATCAATGTGAGATGACGACGCGACGCCGCGGCCGCCGCTCCCTCCTGGAGCCAGCGAAACCATTGGAGAAGCGCACGGACCCATGGCGGACAGGAAGCCTCCATCTTCGGTCAAAGACCAGCACGCCGGAGATGGGATGAACCAGCACCGCAACACCACCGAACCGTGGACTTGACTTGACGCGAGCACACCAAGACATAACCGCCGACGAGAGCAACCAATCATGAAACCCATGAACTGCACGAAACCAACACAAGCACAATATGACCAACAACATGCCATGACCTGAACAAGAACCCTCGAAGAATCCGCGACGACGCAACGGGGCTGGATCTGGAGGACAAATCGCCAACAGCATGGCCACTGCCACCAACGGACTGACCACAACCCGACACCCACAAGCTCCCCGCCGCCGCCGTGAAGAGCAACAACGCCGAGGCGGATCTGAAGCCGGGGGATATTATTACTGTATGCTGGCGCCGAAACCACCAAAAAGTCGCCGTCGAGTACACCTACCCTATTACCTACACACTGAAGACCAAGATCCGGGGCTCCCCCACTCTTTCATCCCCGGACCAACGGCCGGAGAGGGAGGGCTGGCCAGTGGCGGAAAGGACACCAACCGCCTACTTTTCTCCAGTAACAGAAACCGTACCGTGTGTGGAGTTTTTCTCAGGTCCAGCTGGAACATAAGGAACTTTAAAACTTACTCTTCATTTTATACAAAATAAAATAAAATATCAGTGCACTGGTAATTTAAAAAATGTACTGTGAATTTATATTATAAACGAAACTCTTTTTAGAAGAAGAAAAAATAACCGGGCAAAGCTATATGATGGTCGGGCCTACTGGACTTACAGGCAGGCGGGCGTTGGCCGGGCCGTGGACTCCAACGGGCTGAAACGAAGCCTCATGCGTGCTGGGCTTACAGGTGGACGGCAACAGAAACGAAGCCTGTGCGTCTTTGTTTTAATAAAATGAAAATAAAGCCTGCAAACAGAAAGCGGAAGCAAACCCTGACCAATCCTTGACCCCGACAGATGAGTGACGCGCAGGAGACTGCGGCCGCCGCCGCCCAAACCCTAGCCGAGGACGACGCCGCAATCGCGCTGCCCACCATGTCCGCCATGGATCGTCTCACCATGGAGCTGCACGCCGAGATCCTCCGCCGCCTTCCGCCGCGGGGCATCGCTACGTGCCGGGCCGTCCGCAAGGGCTGGCGCGCCGCCGTGGACTCCAACGGGCTGATGCTCGCGGTGGAGCACCGGGTGCCGCACCACGTCGGCGGCATCATCATCAACTTCTCCTACGAGGACCAGCCGTACTTCTTCCCCTGCGGGGCCGGCCCTACGGGCATCGGCCACGAGGCCACGGCGCTTGATTTCATGATCCCACCGGAGGTGGAGACGGGGCGGGGGATCGTCCTCGACCACCGCAACGGCCTCCTCCTGTACGAGGGCGAGTACGCGGTGTACGTGTGCAACCCCGCGACGCGGCAGTGGGCGGAGCTTCCCCCTTTGCCCTCAGATCTCCCCGGCGCCTATTACCTCCTGTTCGACCCCACCGAGTCACTGCACTACAACGTCTTCTTCTTCCCCGAGCCCAACAAACATGATCAGTCGATGGAATGGCCGCCGTCTTCGTACACAGCGAAAGTGTACTGCTCGAGAAGCGGCCAGTGGGATGACATGACATTTGTCCGAGAAGGAGATGCAACAACGGTGGCCATGTGGGCAGATCGAATCAATGAACGAAAGCGCCACGCCGTGTACTGGCGAGGGGCATTCTATCTTCATTGCCCCACTGGTTTCATCATAAGATACATTTCCTCTGCAATTAGTTAACAAACCAACCAGTTGATTTATATACCGTACAGTTTTGCATATATAGTAGGGAAGAATTGAAAACCAAAATCCTCTCTCATCATATCATAATAGGGGAGAGAAGGACCTAAACACCATCAGGTTATAACTCACACACAAAGAGTTATATACCGTGTTTGATATTCTCTAGGTGCCTGGAAATTTGCAGTCGGTAGTAGATTTTGTGCAGGCACCGAGTCTGTGATGCAGATGGCATGGCTAGCCATGGCATACTGGTGAAGGTTGGTCTGGAATGAGCCGAAGATAGGGACAACATGGCTTGTTGCGGTGTCGTCGGTGGAGGCGAAGCAATGGTTGGTGTGGCTATGGTGCGGGGGGTAGAGGGCGCTGGTGATAGAGAAACAGGGGGAGGGGTTTAGAGGGATGTCTGAGGCGGTGGTAGCTTGGGAAGGGCATGGTGAGGCAGCAAAGTCTGCAGGTGGTGGGGACGGTGGTTCGTCACCTAGCGGAGGGCAGGCCCACGAGGGTGAACTAAGCCGGTAGGTGGAAAGCGAGGAAGATGAAGACACGATGCAGCAATTGACTAAAAACTGAACCTTTTTGAGGCAACTTACTAATAGTCGCTCCTATACTTTGCATGCTTAGCAGAAATTACAAAAGATTTCTTACTCACTCTATCATCCTCAACCAAGCCATGATGTGAATGAAAAATCGCACTAGGACTCAGAGAAGTAGCGTGACTCCATCAGGATCACCTTACTTCAGCAAGAGTAACAGTAGCTTGAATCAGATCATTCTTCACTTCAATGTTTGTGCAGTTGGTGCCCAGCCTATGAACTAGCTCTTGTAGTTTTTTGGATTCTTGTGGGAGAACATCTCGCGTTTTCCTTCTCAAATTCGACCACAAATGAATACAACAACATATATGGTATATAATAGCAGTAGGATCATCTAGAAAATTATTGTCATTAACTCATTATTCACAACTACACTCCGAGCCTAGATGACTTCTGCCACATCGGCAGGGAACATTTTACTCTACCACCGAAGAAATTTCTCAATCCATTCATCACATATGAAAGTTCATGGCACACTGTAAACCCCCCTTACAAAATGTGCAATCGAACATGAAATGAAAAGGTGATCAATTATCTCTTGAGCATCACAAAACAATCATTTCTACTACCTAGTCCACCCTCTATGCAACCAAACATCTCCACTCCAAATGGTTATGTGAAGCACTAGCCAACATGAGATTTTAAATTTTGAACAAAAGCTTTAGTTCCATAAATATTTCTTTGGGGACAGAGGAATGTCACACTATAGTTCTAAATAGAAGGATTGACAAAAGTAAACACCATTGGATCCACGAATCCAAATAAAATTGTCTATCTCTAAAATACTTACATCACTAATTAGCTTTTCCAATTATGCCCACTGATCTTTGTAATGCCTCCAAATATTTCTTATGAAACTTAAGCCATTCAAGCCTATAGTCACCATTGTATCTAGCATGGTGTTGTGAATGAAAGTGATAGCGAAAAGCTCAGAGAAAGTTAGGTTTAAGGGTTTATCTTGTTAAACATATCCTCCTAGAGCCACTCATTTTCCATTAGGAACTATCCATTTCAGAATAATTTTGGGAGATCTTTAATTTCCATTAACTTGGAGCAAAACAAAGATTGGTCTGCTTTTTGTTTTGCGGAGATTGGGTTAGCGTAATATTCTCAAGATAGGTTTTCTTGAGAACATCTCACCAAACACCTTGATCAACTCTAATTTTCACAAACATTTTGCAAGTAAGCTTATATTTCTCAAATCCAATTTCAAGACTCCCAATCCTCCCATATCTTTAGGTTTACCTATAGTCCCTCATTCACTAGATGCATTTGGTAGTTACCCAAATCCTCTTGCCAAAACAAACATTTATTAAATACATCCACTTGACTTCCAATTTCTCTAGGCAAACTCTTCCTCTAATGGAAAGGAGCTTGCCCTTCTAACACTCATCTTAGAGTCAATTTTCTATAGGTTTCCATGAAGCATTTAAATTCTCTTTGAGTCTGTAGAAATACCCAAGTAGGTCATGGTCAAAGATCTCAACTTGCATGGCCAAATATGCCCAGTAAGAATCCCAAAATCAAAACACCTCACTTTTACAGAAATTAATTGAAGTCCAAATGTTGGTTAGTATAAGAAGAAGATAAAATTTAGTTTCTGGTTGTTAACTTCACCATCTTTAGCAAGAATAAACTATGACCTGTTTATGGGAGGATTGCAATCCCTCTAGGTTACAGATGATCTGCCAATCATGTGGTCATAAGGTGCATATATAATGGTAATATATGCTAAAATCATCTAATTAATATTGTTCTTTCTGTATAGTCATTAAAAGGCTTTTGAAAACACATATGAATAGGTTTTCATTGGAGAAGAAGACTTCTGTAATCATCAGATCCCCGGAAGTAGTGGGGATGCCTAATATTACTGTTTATGAGCCTGAAATGCATCTTGGGAAATCGAAACATGGAGTATACTTCACAACCATCTACGGATCCCAACTTCAAACATGGGTACTACTTGAGGAATCCAAACCATGTCTAGTGCATAAGTGGGAGCTAAAGTGTCATTTTGGACTTATTCCCTCTTTTAAATGATGCTACACTAGAGCGCAAGGGTTGGGTGATGGAGAAGACAATGAGTTGGGTGATGGAGAAGACAACGAGTTTGGTGATGGAGAAGACAATGAGTGGGACTCTAGTGGTGAAAGTCATGCTGATGATTCCGAGGAAGAAGAAGAGGCTGAAGAATTAGATGAAGATATGGAACAACACATTATATTTAATAATGGCATACGCTTTATTGGGTACCATCCAAACAAGGAGATTGCTTTTCTGGTGACTCGTAGCTTGTATGGGTTTGCTTACTACCTCGGTACCTCTAAGTTGCGCTACTTGGGATCACTTTACCCAGATGGATGTTCTAATCCTCAATATCTGGCCTTGCATAAGTCTTTCATCTACACTCCTTGCATGGATGATTTGCTTCCTACTTGCAATGACCCATAATAACATGTACTCTATCCTCTCTATAGTAGACTGCTCTGTCTTTAATCTAGTGTAATCAGCACTGCACTCTGCAGGATTGTACTTGTATGAGGTGTTGAAATTGAACAAATGCTTTGGTGATAGAGCCTGACAATTTATGATCATCCATGACATTTTCTTATTTGCTTTCATTGTTGATTCCAGTGATATTGTTGTTTCTCTATCATATAATAGTTTGAATTCTCTTATTGATAGGGCTACAAAACAAACATTTGTAGCACAGACCGATCTACTGGCCTTCTATTTATGGAAACTACCAAAATGCACAAGCCTCCATTGCCAAAAATGAAAGCTCTTGTTCAACCCTTTTCTTGGGTGCGGTTGCCCTAGTGGGTTGCTAATTACCCGAATAGAGAAGACACTCACATGCCTTGCTCCTCAGATCCCTTACCTCCTTCCTCCTCCCTTCTTCCTTCGAGTTTCCTTTGGCACCTTTAGTTCTTGAAAGTGCACCTTATGACCTACTAGGTTGGGGTGATTAATGATAAGGCAATTAATAGGTGTAATATTTTATCAAGTTTGTTTTACGAATATAATCACTAAAGCAAATAGTATTGGCAACCCCCTGCCTTTGTGCTAACAAATGGTTGGATGTATATTGTTCCTACCTTTTTTTACCCAAGGGTGACCCTTGGCATCAACCCGTAGGAAGTATTTCTATTAGACAGGTATTCAAACAAGCTATTGTTGTCATTAGACGTTTTTGTCCTCGGACCGAATTATCACAGTTTACTTTAAAAGAGAGACTTATTGAATGAAATAGGCTAGGTCATGAAGACTTTACTTACAACCTTATACTTGCAATTAGGATCTTGTCTTGATTTCCAACATGTTACTAGTAGACATCATTATGATGTGTTATGAATGTGTAGTTGTGGGGGATGCATCTAAATAGGTCAAGACCAATCAACAACCTACATCGTGAGTTTGTTGTCCAACCAAGGCCTTTACAGTCTTGCGGGGTTACCTCTATTATTAAGGACTAGCACAAATGCACGTGCGTTGCAACAGGAGAGAAAATATCGCACATCCCTGTTCTAATAAGCATGGCTCAAGTATCGTCTCCTCCATCCGCGTCCTCTAATTCAACATGGTGACACACACACCAACAATGGATGCGTTTTTCATCTCATCACAACATGTCTAGACATCGTCAATCTCAAGATGATGAGCTTAACCACCTCATGTCATAGCTGGATGTGAGGTCCACCCTTCATGAGTTTCTCCCCACACATGTTCCATACATGCCCTCACATTGCCGCTTAATACCGTCCCTCGCTTTTTGATTGTGAACTTGTTTCATGGAGGAATAATGACGAGCCTTGCTTTGTATCGTACTACCTTATTATTTTCATCTCTCTTCCGAACACCTTCCTTTTGTTGGGAGATAATAATTCAGCAGTAATTGCATCCAACCAATCTTTCCAATCCGACCTTTTCTTGCAATCAGCGAGCGTGTTAGGCTCAGGGTCGAGATCTATGATTTAGGCAATTTTTGTAGCAAATTTAATGTTGACAATCACCGTTGCTCGGTTCAGGGACTCCCCTGTACAAATATAATTTATGGCCATTTCGTCATGGAGCGCATCCGGCGCAAACACTTGCTCTACCAAATTTCCCATTATGGGAGCAAGGTCCTTTACATTTCCCGCGCCGATGTGTGCGCTCACATCTCCGCTGGGTGTTTCCCCTATGGGAAAGTTTAACTCCGGAATTTCATGCACTGAATTTTCCATACTTGTACCAGGTCTCGATTGGCTCTCCGTTTCAATTTAGGGTACTTTGGCGACAGGCTGTAATAAATCTCTCTTATCCTTTTTCGTCGGGCGTCCCCGAGTACTTGGGATTTGAGAAACCGGATTTATCGTCCTTTTAGGCCTTTGGACGGGAGCGGGTATACCATCATTTTTCTTCGGTATTTCAACCCTTTCAGATGCATTGCGCGCGTGCACATGCGATTTTGTCACAGTCTTTAAGTGACTAAAGTGGTTAGGCAGTTGATTTGCTAAAGACTGCAAATATATTATCATTTGGACTTCTCTCTCAGTCTCAACAGTGCGCGGGTCATGAGTGTGGATCCCCGTGGCTTGCCACGCGATTTATTGGCTTTTCGCATCAAGGGGTTGATTCTCTCCCCCTAAAGTCGGGAAAAAATCCTCGTCAAAAATGCAATCAGCAAAACGAGTCGTGTGACAGTCACCTGTCATGGGGTCCAGATACCTGATTATGGACACAGTCTCATAACCATCCTATATCCCAGACTTACGGAGCAGGCCCATCGCCGTTCACTGAGGGGGTGTTATTGGTACATATATATACCTGGCAATCGAACCTACGAAGGTGGGAAATTTTCGGTGCCGACCCTTGCGCAAGTTGAATAGGAGAGTGGATGTTGTAGGCCAACGGTCTAAAGTTGATGAGATTGGCCGCGTGTAACACCGCGTGGCCCCAAAATGTAGTTGGTAAATTACAACCCTGAAGGAGCGGTTGGGCAATGAATTTAATTCTTTTAATCAATGCCTCGGCAAGTCCATTTTGTGTATGAACATGCGGTACCGAGTGCTCAACTTTGATTCCCATTGCCATGCAATAATCATCAAACGCCTTTGAAGTAAATTCTCTGGCGTTGTCTATTTGAATAGACTTTATACGATAATCAGGGAAATTATTCCTCATTTGTATGATCTGAGAGATCAACTTTGCAAAGGCATGGTTCCGTGTTGATAGCAGGCGAACATTGGACCGTTTAGAGGAAGCATCAATGAGCACCATGAAGTACCGAAACGGCCCCGTGAGGGGCTGAATTGGACCACATATGTCCCCTTGGATACGTTCCAAGAATGCGGGGATTTCATCCCTCTCCTTGAGGGGCGATGGCCTAACGACTAACTTCCCCTTAGCGCATGCGGACCACATGAAATCATCGGGATTCGGGAAGTTCTTCACATTAACATTATGACCATGCGAGTTGTTAATTATATTTCTTATCATTGTATGTCCGAGGTGGCCTAACCTATTGTTCCAGAGGCATAAGAGCTTATAGCTTATAAAAACGGTCTTAAGGGTAGTGTAGACGGGCGGTGCTACTATTTTAGTGTAGTATAGCCCTGTGTCAAATGAAGGAAGCCTTTTGATAACATGTTTAACACTTGCATCCCGCTTTGTGATGAGTAGGCACTCCTTGCCGTTTTCATCATCGGTATCAATATGGAAACCATTAGCGCAGATGTCTCTAAATCTCAAAAGAGTACGAGTCGACTCCGTGTACAAAAACGCATCATTAATGATCAAAGTTGTTCCCATAGGAAGTATAATAGTGGCTCGTCCGAAGCCAACTATGTGCGAACCGCAGCCGGTGATTGTCATAATACTTCTCGGAGATTTTTAATGGACTCAAAGTACTTTGTTTCTCGTAAAATGGTATGTATGGTGGCGCTATTGGCAAGGCACGTTTCCTCCATTCGGGCACCACATGCGTTCTAAAATATGACATCTAATTAACCTAATATGGAAGAAACTACATTAAAAATAAATGCACACATCTCAGAACATAACATACTATCATGTATAAATAATGGAATAAATGAATGAAATAAATGTCATCCAATCGCCAAGGTAAAGAATAAGTTTATGCTCTCATAGAGCTTACAACCAAATCAAATTTATTTGAATTTATTGTATCAAACCACGGAATCATGATAACCAACGAGGTATGCTAAGTGAACTCGGTAAAGAAGCCATTGACTTCAGCCGCAATCTCCATACTAGTGAGCTGATCCTCCTTAGAAATCATCTTGGAGGCAACATCAACATCTAGTTGCGGCACCGCTGAGGCGACCATGTGGTCAACCTCCATGGCAACATGGGCATCATGAGAGACCGCCAAAGCTGCCGCGTTGGGCACCACGGGGGGTCGCCTCTATGGGCGCAACAGGGGGCATAGAGATCATCACGGGTGCCGCCATGGGTGCCAGTGGTGCTCCCTCTTGAACCAAGGCGAGGTGCGTCTCACAGGCCTTCCGAGCCTTGTGTGCATGAACGACCTCCTGTGGTGTGTGGCACTGGCGGGAGAAATGCTCCACCAAGACACACCGGAAGTAGTACTAAGGCCTCTGCCCTCCCTTGCCCGACTTTTGCTGCTTAGCCGGGGTGGAGGGTTGAGGGCCTTCTTCTTGCCCTTGCAGCCCCTCTTCTTCTTTTGAGGCTTGCAGACTTTGATAGTGTTCACCTCCTGGCGAGAACTCCCCCCAAGTGGTTGCGCAACAAAGTTCTTTTTCAGAACCTCGTCCTGCGCCTCCTCTACTTGGAGCACGTCAATCAACTTTGAATACCTCGTGTAGTTTCCCTAGCGGTAGTTCCACGAGGACTGGACCGCGTCAGGGTGGAAAGTGGATAGGGTTTTCTCAATCTTCTGGGTGTCGGTAATCTCAGTACCACACAACCGAAGAGTCGTACAAATCCGGTGCAGAGCCGAATTGTACTCCCCAACCGTCTTGAAGTCTGCAAACCTCAGATGGATCCACTCTGCCTCTGCATGTGGCTTCACAGTG